GGGTAAAAGCCTACAAAATTCAAAGTGACACTGGATCAGAATCTTGGACTTTTTTCTCAGGCAAATCAGAAGAAAAGCTTTCCTTTCCTCAGCGAGTTTTCTGGCTGCTGGGCCAAGTGGGCTGTCCGTGCCATCTTTCACCTGCCAAGTGCCTCCTCACTTACCTGATGCTGTGGCAGGCATGATGGACGCTCCCATTTCTCCCTCTGTAACTGAAGATTAACCTTTACAGAGGTGACGTGTTTTTTCAACTTTAAAAAAAGGTATCTTCTTATACGGAATCTTCTGAACATTAATGGGCCTCTTTGTGATGACTCAGTTGTGTTGTTTAGAATATCAGGAATATGCTGAGCTGATGGTCCTTATGTCTATGCGGCAGAGGATTCTCTACGTGTGTTTCTTTGAAGGGACTGCTGAAGCCAGTGTGCTTTGCGCTTTTCTCACAAAGGACAAGAGAGAATTAAATGGCTGCCTCATCTCGAGCAAAACATAGCACAGCTTTCTGTTTTTACCTTTGCTTTTGTTTTACAAAATAAATGAGTACACAAAAGGCTTTACCCTACCATGTGGTTGTCCTGTCTTGTAGAAAATCACAGTGGCACATGGCAGCCTCTCAGGCACAGACATAGCTGTCTGGACCAGGACTGGACTCTCTCCCACCATTGGCTGCTGAGGGGCAGGTTCTTTCCTCATCTCTGGGCCTCCAGACTTGCCACCATCAGGGGAGATGGCTACAGTCCTGTCCACCTGACACTGGCCACTCTCCACTCACCTTTACGTGCAACCTTGCACAGAATCTAGGACGTGCCTGCACTGCAGATCCTGACCTTAATGTCGCCATGAGATGGAACGTCTATGCCGAGCCTCCTGATAGATCACGCCATGTTGAGATGTCTTTTGTGGTGGGATCTCACATTTTGCATGGCACTTTGGTCTAAAGTTTAATTTCAATAATGTCACTGGCAGTTATGAAGATGATAAAAAGACAGCACACTATGAGAACTCCGATTCCTTTGGAGAAGTGCTGTGGCTGTCCAGCAACAGAGTCTCTCTCCCCTCCTTTTGGGAAGTCAGTATTCCGGAAAAATCTTTCAATGAAGTTTCAAAAAAAATATATAGCAAGATGTTAGACTCTGATCATATAAGCACAAACTTGGTCTGCAGAGGCACCCAGCAAATAACTGTGCTGAAGTTCTGCTGCTAGCATTTTACAATGAGCAAAGGCTTAATTACATGGGAGCTAGGAGCAGTACCGCATGTGAGAACAGCTACTGGCCCTTAATCCTGTAAATCTCAGGGAAATAGATTCACCAGCACTTGGTAAAGGAAACACCAGGCCAACTTCACTGAGACAGACAAGGTTTGTCAGTCAGGGCTATTAAACTGTTCAGAGGCGAGATGGTCTCAGAAATGGGCTCACTGCGCATGTCAGTGAGCCTTGGGCAGCCACGTTTGCCCATGTTTTCAGCAGTGATGTTTTTAGTTAAACTTTATTTTTTATTGATTATGAATATTCATGGGGTACAAAGGTGATTGTCACCACTTGTGCTCAAGATGTGATGGCCAGATCCAGACCGGAAGCATGCCCATTACTACAAATGGCGATTATACTCCATGTCCCCCACACAATTATCCCTGACCTCCCTCCGCATCCCCTTTTCTCCCACCCTGCTTTGTATCCCTGTGTATGCTCTCTCCCTCTGCAAGTCCAACACACCACTGTGGTCTTTCTTTCCTTCATTCTTTCTCTCTTAGCTCCCACTATGACATGTGGTATTTATCCCTCTGTGCTTTGCTTATTTCACTCAACATAAGTTTCTCCAAGCTCATCCATGTTGTTGCGAATGGGAGAATTTCATTCTTTCTGATGGCAGAGTAGTATTCCATGGTGTAGATATACCACAGTTTCCTTATCCAATCATCCATTGATGGACATTTAGGTTGGTTCCATGTCTTGGCCATTGTAAACAGAGCTGCAGTGAACATGGGAGTGCAGGTATCCCTTCGACATGGTGATTTCCATTCCTCTGGGTATATACCCAGAAGTGGGACTGCTAGATCACTGTCAGAGAATGCTCAGCTCTGTATTTCATCTATAAACTCTTTTGACTTTTTGATTAGCTTGGGTTCAGGGAAATACACTCTTCACTGAGGAAGCTGGGAAGCCACATCACAGAATCACTTTCATATGCAGCTAGCTTTCCCTGCCACTTGTCCTAATCACAGCATGTTTGCAGCTCTGACTGAGGTCGCTTTCTTTTGTTCTAAATGTCCTCTTCAACCACTTGAACTGTCCGTGGCATGACATTTCCATTCCAGCATGGCGATGCATGAACAGAGCAATGTCCCAGGAAGTTGCTGGACAAGGTGGTATGTGCCCTTCCAGTTGATGCCACCTCATGTGAGATTAAGAGCCAGACTCAGCTGCCGTGTGCAGGGCATGGTGTGAGGACTAAGGGAAACTGAGCCCTCTGAGGGCTCTTTGCTGCCCTCCCAGGGACCAGAACTTGCCGATTTACCTCTTTGCCCTCGACTTTCTCCTGCTTTGCAACCAAACATCTGCTGCTCCCCTTGCAGCCGCTTGCTTCTAACCTCCATGGATGTCTTCCTTTCCCCTGCTGTCCCAGCTCCTCCATCCGTATTCCTTCTACCTTCTTCCTCTCCTATGCACAGGTCCTCCAGCAGAACATGGCTTCCGCCTGAGAAATCTCGCTGTGAGCAGGTCTTTCCCTTCCCTCTGGCTGGAGCTCTCACCAGCAGGGTCTTTCACAGGAAACCTTCAGTTAGAGAGCCTTGGTCCATGATTTCTGCTTCTGTTTGAGAGGTCAGGGGCTGTTTCTTCACAGCCAAAAGCAATTTGTTCTTCCCTTTTATTCTAAACATCACTCAGTTAAAAAAACAAGAAAATCCATTGGCACTCTAGGAATAAAAAATAAATAAACGCTGCTCATAACTCAACTGCCTGCCACGATACAACTTTGCTTCCAATGATTTCCACAGGGAACAGCTTAAACTCTTTGCTTCAGGAGCCAAGTCACCCTCTCGTTTTCCCTACATCTGAGTTAAAGGCGAAGTATCCACAAAAGGTGTGAGACTATACAAATAAACACCTTCTTCTGAAGTAAGGTGGGAATAAGCAGAACATGATGTGTTTTTATTGTTGGCTTTGCTGCAACTCAGCTCTTTCTGGAAAATGATTGACAAGTAATTGCATTTTGTACAACTGTTAAAACAGGGTCAGTCTGTGTCTCTATGTTGTTCCTGTAAAGATACCAAGCTGTGTCTATGATGCTGCTGCGTACTTTTCATATTTTAATTTAAGACAACAAATAAACATGAAAGGGAGAAGGGAAAAAGAAAATCCCTAACTGAATTTTCTACTGAGGCTGTTTGCAGCATTATCACTCTGCCCACCCCGCAAACCTTAAAACCAGGTTTGTATCCTGAAGGGGTGGGACTGTAGGAGAGCCCCTGAAATCAGCATCCAGGTCTGGCTAAAGAGAAGGTGCGGTGGCAGATACATGAGCGCCCTGTTTGAAACGATGATTCAGGAGGAAGTCAACTGACCTGATTAATTTTAGTTTTTCTTCGGTTTGGACTAAAAATATCTCAGAAAGAGAAAATCAAGTGGGCTCACCAACAGCAGTTTTATTCTTAGAGGACACATAAGCAGACTTGAATAGGAAGCTACAGCTCTAAGAATAAAGCTGTGTGCTACCCAGTCAGTAATCTGCCACCCCAGAGGGGTCCCCTTTGTCTGCTCATAGGGCACCTGTCAGAGGGGACAGATTTGGGCCAAATGAACATGGCAGATGCTTCTGGAACTGACTGCAGAATAAAGCAGCTCTCTGCGGCCCTGAGAGGAGAGGCACTACGGGCAACTGACCAATTCTGGCCAGGATGGTGACAGAGCTCGAAGGCACAGATCAGCCCAGCCCGTAGAATGGGATGCAGGGAAAAGCAGGGTCCCTTGAGGCCGCTCTGAAGTGGCAGGTGGTATGAGTGAGAAGGTCGAAGTCTTATAGATTCTTGGTTTATCTCTAGAGATATAAACATTTAAAAAGTCACACACTGCCTGCAATTAACAATCTGAACCAGCCACCAGGCAGTCACTGAGATAGAGCACTGGTGCAGCAAGTGAGGACAGACTCCGTTCTGGTTCCACTACCTGTCAGCTGTGTGTCCTCTGGTAAATTATTTGGCCTCTCTGTGCCTCAGTTTTCCCAACAGTAAACTGGGGACAATAGTACTCGTCTCACAGGGTTGTTAGGAAGATTAAATGAGTATTTGTAGAGCACTGACAACAGGGCCTGTTTGTTAAATAAGTGAAAAAAATGGAAATCACACAGGAGGAGTCTGAATACAGGTGGCAACGTCAGAACTGGCTACTCCTTGCAGCGGGGCAGTAGCTACAGTGGGAGCTGCACCCAGGCCCTGCCTCTGAGCTGGCTGAAACAGTTATACTTTGGGGTTCCCATTAGTGCAGGGCAAATCCGGGAAAGCTGGAGACAGACGCAAGGCAAGGCAAGGACTGCAGCTCGGCTGGACTTGAGAGCCCACAAAGTCCAAGCCCCAAAGCAGGCCTGCCCTCACTCTCTAAATTGGGGGGGCTCTGCAGCTCCCTACTAGAGGGCGACACCCCCCACCATCTGTCTTTTCTCTCCAAATTTGGCAGGAAACCTGGCTACTTGGACCACAGAATTGAGGACAAGGCTGCTACTTGGCTGTTTTCTTCTGCCTGCAGAGGCCAAGGTCACCAGCTTCCCCTCTCCAGGAAGAAGGGTGGGTGGGATACACCCAGGATTTGGGGAAATGGGGCTCAGGCAACGGCCTGCTTTATTGGACCACAGAATTGAGGACAAGGCTGCTACTTGGCTGTTTTCTTCTGCCTGCAGAGGCCAGGGTCACCAGCTTCCCCTCTCCAGGAAGAAGGGTGGGTGGGATACACCCAGGATTTGGGGAAATGGGGCTCAGGCAACGGCCTGCTTTATTGGACTCACCACTTTGGGCTTGAACGGCGGCTGGATCTCCCTGTTCTCCAGTTTTTCCCAGTCGATCCTCCGGAAGAAGGCGTGTTCTCTCACATCCCTCTCTCCCTCAGGCCCACAGCCCAGCCGCTTGGCTGGGTGTTTGGTCATCAGCTAGAAAGCGAAAGGAGAAAAAGAGAGAGTTTGACAGCGTCTTCCCTTTGCCTGGCTCTGCCTCCTGCCCTGATCATGTGGATGCCTAGATGGCACCCCAGGACACTTCCCAAGAAACTCAGTGGCTTGCACAGGGCGAAGCCAACTGACAAACATGACATTGACAAGGACAGGCCTTTCCATAGTGATTTTCATGATAAGGAAACAGGGAAATAATTTGAATCCATGGCAAAACATAATAAGAAGAATTTAAATAGGCTTTTTTATATGCTATATTTTAGAGCTACCATTCTATATGTACATCTGGTAAAAAGGCATGCAATCACTAAAAATCATGTATATTGGAAATATCACAGCCTGGTATCACATAAGATGCTATAGCAAGCATCACATACCTATCTATTGTCTGAACCAAAATATTATCAATTAAAAATTCATGGATTAGGAAAAAAATGCCATTGCAAGGAGGACAGCTAGTTAATTTCAACATGCTCTTGCAGGACATAGAGGCAAGAGCAACTATGAGCTCTTTGAAGGCATAAGCCAGTGCTTCCTGATCTTAGCATCTCTTCCAAGGCCTTGCCCCTGAAGACACGTAATAAATGCTTCCCAAACAATTGATCTCCCCAGAAAATGCTGAGTGTGTTTTACTCCATTTCACTAAGTCTGGAAATAATTTTGTGACTTAAAACTTGACCATTAAAAATTTGCCAGGTCACAACTAGCAATTCCATTCCCAGGCATTTCCTCGACAGAAATGTGTTCATATGTTCACCAAAACATAAGACCCAGAAGGTTCATAGCAGTTCTATTTGCAATATCCCCAATCCAAAGTGAAAACAACACAAATGCCCACCAGAAGCAGAATGCATAAAAATGGAGTTATGTTTCCACAGTGCAGTTATGTTTCCACAGCAATGTGAAAGAAGGAACTCCAACCACACCCAGGAATGTGGATAAATTGACCATCACGATGCTGAGTGAAAGAAGCCAGGCCAGGGAGCACACATGGCAAGATTTCACTTCTGCGAAGTTCAAAATAGGCAAGACCAATCCATGCAGTTAGAAGTCAGGATACTGCTTATCTTGGGGATGGGGTAGAGACTGTAAGACAGGACAGGACGGGGCTTCTAAGGTGTTGGGAATGTTCTGCGTGCAATTACATGGGTGTATTCACTTTGCGGAAATTAATTTATCTGTACGCTGATGATTTGCACCCATCTCTCTATGTATGTTACATCTCAAAACAAGAGGAAAAACAAAGACCTAAGATAGACCAAATGAGGCAAGAGATGAGAATACTTTCCAAGGGCTTGTGATTACTTCTGGTAATCCCACCACAATTTCATTAAATGGAATGGGATCAAAACTACAGTATGATTAGGTGACTGGGCCAGAGTTCCAGGACATGTTGGGATTTCAATTCATTCTCCCAGCCTCTTGCTTTTCCCTCTATGCCCTGCATGTTACCAAGCCCTAGCCCTCGATGGCTGAAAAGCAGCGGCATGGGTCTGTGGTGTTTTCTGCCATTTCTCTTGGAAGCAGTGGGGGAAGGCATTTTCCCTGTTGACCCTCTTGGTCCACGATCACAATAGGATCCAAATCTACTTACTCCTTTGCAGATGGAAACAGCCTCCTTGGACAAGGATTTTGGATAGGAAACGTTGTGCTCCATTATAGACTGAAACAATTCGTCTTCATCTTCACCATCAAATGGAGGCTGTTCCAGAAAAAAGAAAGATGGGAAAACATTTAGGCAGAGTAATTCACTAACACGACACCTAAAGATCCAATTCAGCACCAAGAAACAGACGAAGCTTCTCAGCACACTGCAGCCTGCAGTTAGCTCAGTTAACTTGCAGGTTTATTTGATTATCTTCAATTAGGTTGGTGGTTGGGTGTTTTTCATCTTTCCTCTATCCCTTTAATTTATCTTGCCCTGGGCAACCCCAAACAATCTTTAGGAAAAATGCTTTTGAGTGATGCTTTTAATGATTCGCAAATAAATTATGATTAATCCATTAGTCTTCTAAGTATGTGGTAAAAATCTAATTATGACCAAGTAAGGTTACAAATGGCTTTGTGTTCAGAAGGGGGGGGCAGATAGAGAATGCTAACACCTCCACTTGGGGTGAAGGGGCCTTCAGAGCAGGGGCAAAGAGGATGTATCCAGCCCAGGAGCTCACACTGGGGTCTTCTAACCCAACAAGGAGGTCCTCTTTAGGCGGGGACTGCTGCCTGCATGGTGGCAGTGATGGGGTTCAGTTTCCACTGGACACCTCCACTGTCCTCTTCTACTAGGTTTACAATTGCCACGATGAGAGAGTGAGGCATGGTGGCACGGTGGGAGGTCACAGCTTTGAAGTCAGGCAGATATGGGCCAGAATTCTAGCTCTACTACTTCCTGGCTGCGTGTTCACAAGCAAGTGACTTACCTCTTTAAAATAGTTTTCCATTTTGCAAGAAGGGGTTTCTGGTGAGTGCGTAAATCACCTGGTGTTTTGTGTTGTAGCCAGTAGGTCCCCAATGAAGGGTACTTGGCATGTGGTATTGTTACTAAGGCAGAGGAACTCTCTGAGAGGGGCTTCAAGAATCCTCCAGGCATTAAGACCAATCTCAGGATGCCTTTCAAGCTTTTCCCTCCAGCAAATTCCTTAATGTTCCCTTTTGGCTCAGCTAACCCTGAGCTTAGCATAAAAAGGCAGACTAGGGGGTTGCCCCTCTATAGAATCTATGTTTAATCTTGCTATGTTTCCTTCTATGGAAAAGAGGAGTCAGTCACTTCGGCTGATGTGGTTAGGTTCAGATAGTGACAGTGTTGGCTTAAATGTCAACTATATCGTGGATAAAGGTAATGGTGCAGTAGTCAGCAGGATATCCCATGTTGTCAGACTTTTCCCCCTTAGTGAGACAGATCAATTGAACCAAAAAGATCCCTCCCGGGCCGGCCCGGTGGCGCACTGCTACAGTGCGCCGCTTGGGAGCGCGGTGGCGCTCCCGCCGAGGGTTCGGATCCCACATACAGACCGGTTCCCACTCACTGGCTGAGCGAGGTGTGGGTGCAGCACCGAGGGTTGCGATCCCGTTGCCGGTCCCGGTCCAGTACGGGCGCGACACTAAGGGTTGCGATCCGTTGCCGGACACGAAAAAAGACAAAAGGGAAAAAAAAAAAAAAAAAGATCCCTCCCTGCAACCACTGCTCACTATTCCTCTCACACCAAGACCCGACCTTAACCCTGAATCAGAGCTGGGTGTGGGGTCAGTACACGGAAGCCACACCCTCTGAGCAAAAGACACCAAGTCTATGAAGAACCCCACCTTGGGACCATTTGTGGGAAAATGGAGACCAGGGTGACTGGTGCCACTTAACATTTTGGGGGGTTCTGGAAATATAAATAAATGGGCCTCTTTTCTGGCTGTAAGAGCCTGGTATAAAGCATGTTTAATTTTGTGGAAGCGTGCAGGTGGGTGAGAACTAAGCTAGCCCACCTGTGAGCTACTCAGGGCAGGGCAGGGCAGCCTGCAGGGGAGCCCAGGCAACAGAGGGCTCTCTGTGTCAGCGTCACTTCCATCTAGAGAGGACAGGGCAGAGCACGACAGGCTGCGGCTGCAGGGGAGGCCAGGCCTACTGTCTGCCCTTCCACAACTTCTCTGCCCGGTATCACGCAACCTTCTTCTTTTGACCACCTATTACACGACACACACCTCTCATTTTTCCTGTTAAGTGATCCATAAACGTGGTGGAGTTTTGGCTGAGGAGATTTTCATAACTAAAACAGACATGGCATGGTTTCTGCTCAGGACCTTGAATTGCACCCCCGCAGGGTCCCAGAGCACTTGGAATTCGCACGTTCTCTACAGTGTGAACGGGGCCTTGGGGCGAGCAGGGCAGAGGCTCTGCTTCTAGATCACCCACCGACACCTCACGATAAGGCCTGTGAGGGCCTCTGGTCAGGAAGAAGTACATAATTTGTGGGTTTCAGTGCAAAATGAAAATGCTGGGACCCTTATTAAAAAACAATTAAGAATTCCCAGATGCTGACCATGGAGCATGACACCATACATGCAGGGCCCTTCTAAGCGTGGGTCCTGTGCGTCTGCCCAGGTGGCACGCACATAGAACTGGCCAAAGGCTCCTTGATGAGCAGTGACGAAGGCAGTGGCAAGAGTCAACCAGCACCTTCGGAGATGCTCAAGGACCAGCAGGCTGAGTCACAAACCATCCCAGCCAAACGTCTGAAAGACTTTCCGCGAAGGAAATCAAGCGAATCTGCCTCAGGAATCTTCATCAAGTGGAGCAGTGAAAAGACCACTTTTTAAAAATTTTATTATCTTTATCTCAAAGTACTCTCTACTTTCCCTGTGATTTTTCTTTCTACCCATTATTTAGGAGAGTGTTGTTTAATTTCCTCACATTTGTGAGTTTTCTAAATTACCCTCTGTTATTGTGGTCAGAGAACATTTTCTATGATCTTAGTCTTTAAAAAATAGGAAAAATTCAAACAAAAAAAATAATGTTTTGAGCTTTGGCCACGTTATTATCAGTGCTTTATTTTTATTGTTGAATTGTATTTCATTGTATGGATATACCGCAATCAGTTTTTTTATTCTCCTGTTGATGAGCATTTGGATTGTTTCTACTTTTGGTCCCTTATGAATAAAACTGGTATTGTTAAAATTTTTTTTAGTTGTACATATTTGTGGGGTATAGTGTGTTGTTTCAACACATGCACATATTATACAATGATTCACTCAGGGTAGACAGCATATCCATCCCCTGAACATTTATCTTGAAAAGATGTCAGGTCACTGTAGCTGAAGCCTTTTGCCTCCCACACCCTCACAATGTGGAAGACCAGGAATTGTCTGTGGAACCTTCTGAGCAGGGCACTGGCCTATCACACCTGTTTAACTGTCTCATGGTGTGGGAACCAGCTTTGCCAGGTGAGCCGCGCCCACAGATGCCAATTTCTGAAATGGGAACTACTGAGTCAGGGATTGAGCTCTGTCTGCTGGAGATCAAAGGAGGACTTTCATCAAGTCTTCGCTGTGCCCCACTGAGGGTAGGACACCTGGATCCTGGAGCACTCCAGAGTATCCTTAAACACCGATCCTACAGGACATTCCTGGGTCAGAGTTTGCACCCTATACCCCTCTCTGGAGATCTGTATTAACATTTACATTGTAAAGGCCCTGAGAAGTCCTGCAGTAAAGAAAGCTGTTTAACCCTATGCAAATCATTAGTCTGGGGTTAGAAGGATTCTCAGAGGACCCTTAGGCTCGCCTGCTGCAATAAGACTCCTAAGGTACAAGATGTCTTCAAGAAGTTCATGGAAAGATTCATACTATCTTTTAATTCTATTTTTCCATGAGTTTTTGGAAGCAACCTCGTTTAATAACAAAAGCCACAAGATCAAACGCCCTGTGACAGAGCCTCAAGATTCACCCTGCTTTCCACTGGAGGTAGCACCAAGGATTAGGATTGTCCTGCGATCACATCCCAGGGAGGGACATATTTCTACCCCTCAAATTTGCTCATTGTGAATCTATTGCCTGATAAGGGAGGAGAGTGATGGCATGAAGAAGGGCAGCCGTAACACAACAGGAGTGGCACTCTCAGGCCCTTGCTCCATGCCAGGCACTATGTGGGGTGCTCTGCAGGTATCTCCCACTCAATCTTCAAATCAATCTTGTGATCAATGCTTGATCCCCTCAACAGCTGAGATCCCTGAGGTTCTGTGCAGTACTTTGGCCAGGGTTACAGAGCGGGTATAGAAGACTGGGATTCCAACCCAGGCATCCTGCCTTTCGGACTTGGGCTCTCAGCATCATGAGCAATGCCACCTCCCCACACCTGCGCTGGTAGCTAGCCAGTGAAGTGTGACCCCAGCACTGCTCCTGGGAGGACCAAGCGGGAGGCACTCAGCTGTGGGGCCGCCCAGCACATACAGTGGACTCTAGCGTGGGGGAGGGCTGATTCATTTCCTGCATGGTATGCAGCAGTGAGTTCTGAAAATAAAGAGGGGGCAGCCCCAGGAGCCTGTGCTGTTTCAAGTCACGTATCAGTGACTTGTCTCTAGCCTAGAGACCTGGCTTGATTTCCCAGCCCTAACGGATGGGTGGGAACTGGGCTAGCCTCCCTCGCAGCTGCAGGCCTGGTGCCTCTGCCCCACTGAAGATGATGTATCTTGGGCAAGAGGTAGAGGAGCAGTTAAGTGCTTCCCCTCAGCTTTGGAATGCCAGCAAATCAAATGCATATGTTTTCCTACTCTGTTTCCTCTGGTGCAAAGATATAGGCTTTACTATTATTATTATTATTATTATTATTATTATTATTATTATTATTATTGTGATAAAATACACATAAAATTCACTATCCTAACCACTTTTAAGTGTACAGTTCAGGGGCATTAAGTGCACTCACACTGTTGTGCAGCCATCACCACCATCCATCTCTAGAACTTTTTCATCTTTCCAAATTGAAACTCTGTCCCCATTAAACATTCACTCCCCATTGCCCCGCCCACCAGGTCCTGGTGCCACCATTCTACTTTTTGTCTCAATGAATTCCACGACTCTAGGCACCTCATGTAAGTGGGATTATACAGTAAATACATGCCCTTTTGTGACTGGCCCATGTCAAGATGTGAACTCTTTGTATCTTAACTGTGCCTTCAGCTATCAGCAAGGACAGGCTAGGTCCTGCTGTGGCAACAAACAACCTAGAACATCTCCAAAGCTTAAGGCAATAATTTTATTTCTTGCTGATGCTACATGTGCACTGGGAGTCACAGAAGGCTCTGCTGATTGTGGCCACTCAGGGATCCACGCTTCTGGCACCGTGCCATCTTAGTCTTGCTGTGGCACAGGCTGCAACAGGGGCCCTGGGGTGTCTTGCACCAGCACACAAGTGCTTGGCATCCACTCAGGTCTCATTGCCCAGAACTAGTCACATGCACCACCCAACTACGAGAGAGCCGGGAAGTACAGTTCTACATGTGCTAGCTGGGAAGAAGACAAGAAATACCTGGTGAACAGAAGTAATGACCACCATGTTCTGAAAAGCTGCCTGGAGCCCTATTTTAAATTGAAATTGTGTAATACTGGGGGCAGGGGAAATCCATGAAAGTAGCATCCACATTCCCTTTACCTAAACACAAAAACTGCTCTGCTTTATATGTGAATTCTTAGGCTTTCTTTTATTATTTTTGAATTGTGCTGCATAACTTGGAATTTTTCACTGACTGCTGCAAACACATTTTCTCTGTAGCCACCAGTGTTCCCATTCAGTGCTGAATGCCATGCAGGTAACATATTATCACAGACTGATTCATTTGTCCAGGGACACATTTACAGCTGCTTCCAGTATTGCATTCTAATAACTAATGCCACTATAAACATCTCTGTGCATATCATTTTTTCTTCTCTTAATTACTTCCTAAGAATAATGTGCCATGTGTAGGATTCTGTAGCCAAAGCATGTGAATGGGTTTAGGGTTCTTGTCAAGTCTCTCCATGTCACCCCTGGAGCATCTGACCAGTAACTGCTTGCTCTCAGGCTCTGGTGTTGAAGGCTGGTCCATGGTGAAAAGTTATAATTATGTTCGTTTTCCTTTCCAGTAATGCTATCTACTTCGTCCAGGGACAAGGGGGGGTGACGTGCTGCTGAGGTACTTAGTATATTACCCTTTTGGATTGCTTCTCTCCCTTCTTTTTCCCATCCCCCAAAATCTGGACTCAATGTTCCAAGCTAAGCTACCTGTTAACAAGTCTCAGGTTAGTGTAAAAACTTTCTGAATGGGTTGTATCCCCACTACTTTAACAATATGTGATTTGTGAGTTTTAAACAGAAAAATGAGGGGTGATGGTTCACACTTTACAAAATGATTCCTAAATCAATTACTAGTAAGTGGTCCTCAGGGGTCTGCCAAGTTTATCTGCAGATCACTGATGACCTGGGGTGGGGGTAAGTGAGCACCCAGGGATAATTCAGGCTGAAGTTCTGAGATAAAGTACCAATTACCGATTCATCAGGAATGAAGACAGTGTATAAATAACTCTGGCAGAAAAGACATAAAGAGGAGAGGCTGCTCGCTTTAAGATGAACACCGTCAACACCTCAAGCCACACTATACTCATTAGAGTGCTGGGTAAATTCTATTTATGTCCCCAAAGTAATCATATTTGACAAGCAATCCAGGAACTGAATAAAGACTCAGACTCTTTATACGTATCTGCCCCCTTGGCTGCTGACAATAAATAAAGCAAATGAGAAGAAAGTTGCCATAAACTATTTTTTTGCTCATCTTCAGCGCTCCTGATTAAAGAGGACAAGTTTAGACCACAACCCCATCACAACGTTATAATAATCTTCCTCCTCAGTAACAGCGTCTATTCCTCTCCTGGGTCTCTGAGGTTCCAGCAGCTATGCGGGGCCCTGGGTGATAACCGCAGAGCCTTCATTATCCTTTCTGGGTGGAGTCACAGCCCAGGAGTTCATTTAAATTTGCACTGAGGAGTCAGAGAGGAAGATGAGGCAGGGGCTGTGAAGGAGGAGATGTAGACCTGCAAAGGTTCCTATCTGTGTCTGTCACTGCCCCGGGATATAGGCCACCTTTAAGCTGTTACTTTTGGAGAATATCACCATTCTCAATAGAGATCATGAAGATGTCAAGGGATATGAGCAAGGCAAGCTATCAGATCTGAGAAGCAGGATGGGAAATAACGGCAACGTGCCGGGATGTTTATGCAGCCACTGGGCGAGGGTGAGGGCACTCTGCAGGCGTGAGTGAAGGAAGCAGGCCTGCAAGGAAGGCCTGGACATGGGCTCAGCACCAGTCTGCAAGTGAGGCTTGAAAGAGGCAGCACTTCAAAAGGGGACTTCCCTGCTGGAGTGGAGCATTCCCTGAGCTCTTCCCTGGGGAATAAAGCCCCAGGAAGCCTGGGAGAGGAGGGAAGTCAGGGAGAGGCAGGGAGGGAGGACTTTCCTGCAGGTCTGAAATTCTGCTCTCCTGCTGGCCAATGAAGAGTCAAATCACAACATCTCTTGTAAAGTGCCCTTGGAAACGGATCCTGACCATGTTTCCATCCGACCAATTTCCCTTGTTGGCGTATGCAAATGTGCCTCTTAATGAAAGCAGGGTTTGTTTTCTGGACTCAAGAGTTGAGGACGCAACTGGGATCAAGGAGGGGAACTTGGTTTTGTGCCTTTATGAACAGCACAGCTCCCAGGGGGCTGCTAAGTCAGAGTCAAATTCCATTGTTAAAATTTAAAGAGGGGAAATTAACTTTGGGCAGAGTAATTTGTATTTCCTAGCTGCTGTCTCCCTGACAGCAGCTGTGTATAACCTGCTTTCCTGTGTTTCTACATGGAGGTATTTGGCCTAAGAAGAATGTTTTGACAAAAATAAGTAGTAAACAGACCCCTCTTTTGATGTCAATCAAGTCTTAAAACCACTGAGAAACAATGATCAAAGGTAAGCTAGGACCTATATATTTCGCTATCTGAAAGACCATTCTAGAATCTCAGAGATATGCCATAATGAAAGAGACAAAAAGGAGAGCATGCCAATGGCTTCCCGTCCCAGAGTGGGAGTCACAGTCTTGCGATGACCTCCACGGAGTGCTCTTTCTTTCGATCTCAGGCCTCCTAGCCCTCTCCAGGTCACTCCGCTCCAGCCACAGGGTGGCATTCTTGCCATTTACATGTGGCCCACACACCTGCCTCGGGCCTTTGCACTTGCCATTGCTCCCTGAAGCTGTGCACAGATGGTTCCCCACTTCCTTCTGGTCTCACAACTGCACCTTCTATGTGAGGCACTCGCCGGCCATCCCAGCTACAATTCCACCCCTCCCCCAACCCTGTATCTTCTTTTCCTGCTTTATTACTTTTCTCCTTAGCTTATCACTGACATATGAAATATTTTCCTTAACTCGTCTGTCATCTCTCTCCTCTGAGCTGCAAGCTTCGTGAAGGTATTGATTTCTGTCTGCTTTGCCCACTGCTATTGCTGTGCACATAGTAAGCGTTCAATAAACATGTGTTGAATGAATAAATGAATGAGTCAACGATGTAATATGTCACAAAGAGTGACTTTTTCCATTCCGGAAACAGATTTCTTTGGGGGTCACTCTGCTGCTGCTCAATCTGGGCATTCTTTCCGTGGTCTCTTGCTACGGCTTTTGGCAATGAAGAGACAAACTCCTTGGCACTAGTACTTGAGTGCTGGGAATTATAAAAACCTGCCCACAAGAGAATCATTTTTAGGGATAGTGGCAGAGATCTGCTGGATGCCTACCAAGCCTGCTTCCCCTGCTGAGCTCTCAGAGGTGCTAGACTTCCCACCCGACTTTGTGTTTATAAATGGGGCCAAGTTGCCAGTGGAATGTAGACAGGAGTAACAGATGCCACCTCTAGGCCTGGTCATTAAAACATTCTGTGTGACTGTCCTTGTGCTCTCTCTTCACTAGTCAGCTAAAATGAGGAGGATTCAGTGGAGGAATCTGAGGTCCTAAAAGACCGTGAAGGCAATGGATGGAAGCACCTGGGTCCTTGAATGACCAAGTGGGTCAGTGTCCCACCCCCACATAGGTCTGTACCATGAATATGAAATGAACCTGTGCTGTGTGTTGGGGACTGTTAAACAGCTAGTGTGACTTACCTAGATGATACAGATATTAAGGCCACTATAGCAGAAAGTACCCTGCTAGGCAATAATGCACTTGGCTGTCTGATATATGTCATATCCTAACAGAAACCTAATTTGCCTTCCTAACTGAAAGTACAGCCTCACTGGACTTTTGTGAAAATTACAATAAATTGCCAACAGTGAGATAGAAGGAGATGGGGAGAAGCTATTAAAACACTTCTTCAAGTTTGACAGTCTTCTTCCTTAAATAATAACAACACCAACTATACAACAGTAGCTGGGGTAATCTTTGCAGACAAATTTGCAAGGAACTGTAACCCAAACACTGTTTTGAGATACTGAAAATGTAGAGAGTCCATTGCTGACATCAATATGCACGGGGCTTTTGTGCATTATGTGAAAGCTACATTGTCTACACTGCAGGTTGCAGCTTTCAATCTGGGGTTTTTATGACTAGAAGATAATTTCTGTGCGTACTGAACATAATCCACTCTCAAGGGGGAAACTCCACCTCTTCACCCAGGTCAGGGAAGCCGGCATCACTCAATAGCATCAGCCACACTACACTTTCAGTTCCTGCTGTCACTGCCGAACAGAGCTGAAGTGTGCACGTGACACAGCAACAAACAAACATGAAAATGCAGTGAAATGTTACCTGCCCAGCTAGCATTTCATACAAGAGGACACCATAGGCCCACCAGTCCACAGATTTTCCATACGGCTGATAAGCGATTATCTGTGTAGAAACAAACACATCAATTACATTTAGTGATGAAACAAACAGCCCTATTAGAACATGTAAGTCAAACAGGCAGACATTTATACCCTCAGTTCATTTAAATAAGGGGATGATAAAATCTGTCTGATTTCTACACCACAGGAAGAGGGCCCTTCATATTAGACATACCAGAAACTATCACCCCATGATTCACTGCCCAAAACCTGCTTTGGGACTCCACTTCTGAATCTACATGGAGATGCCAAAGCACTGTCTGACAGTTTATTTAATCATCCTTACTGGTGAAAAATATTTTGATGCTGAGGTGGATTTAATTTTTGGAAGAAGCCGGTGGTCATTCAGAGCTAGGGTCTGATACATAAAATGATCCAACTGTGTAACAGGGTTTCGCTGAAAGTAATAAGGACGATGATGTGACGAAGACTAGGAGGAGGAATGACTTAAGTAAAAATTCTAGTTTTCTTTTGTTGTATGTGGAGGTACAATGATATACGTTCAGTCTACTGAGTAAAGTTTTAAAACATTTCAGAAGAGATATAAAATATAATAACCAAATGCAATATTTGAACTTCATTTGACTCTTGATTCAAAACAACCAGTTGCAGAAAAGAAATTTTGAGACAATTGAGAAAGTTAAGATACAGTGTGGATATCAGATGATATTAAGGGGTTATTGTTGATTTTGTTAGGTGGCATAATGGTATGGTGACTAGTTAATAATGAGTTCTTTTTGGTTAGAGATAAAGTATTTATGGGTGAAATGTTATAAGTTTAAAAAAAGACTTCAGTAAAAGAGGCGGGGGAAGAACAGATGAAGAGAGTTGGCAAATGCAGGCAGCTGTTGAAGCGAGTGATGGGTCCATAAGAGCTCACTCGAGTCTTCCTTCCACCTCTGTGGCTATCAGAAGTGCTAGAATAATTCTATACCCTCCCTTTGTGGACGGGATTAATTCTTGATCTGGATTTCTAAGTGTGGCATGTCTTATTAAAACACTGGCGTCCTTACCTCTCAGGTAGGCTGTGTACCAGTGCACACAATTCCCAGACCCATGAGTCATGCCCCAGAACTCGAGGTAGAGACATACTAACAGGTACTCAGCACAACCATTCTGCCATTTTACATACAACTTTGACTTTGAAATGTTCTAGGATAGCTTTAATGGCCCAGAATGTGTAATTAAATGTCTTGGGACATAAGAAAACTTCCTGCATGTCTTCCTACCTCTGTTCCTTTAATGTATTACTAATATTTCTCCATGAAGCATGAGAAATACAAGCTCCTACAATTTGCCTAAGTGTGGTGGCAACAAGGGGTACACATTTGGATTTGGCAGCTCTGTAGCTCATTTCCCTGACAAGAAAATGATAAGCCCAGGAACCTACGAGGAGTCCTTAATTTCTTTTCCCACATTTGTTCTTTTCTGAAAACCTGGACAATACATACACAAAAACCCCACCATAATGAGTCTCTAATCTATTACCTGGAGATGATACGTGTCATTCCAGTTCCCAGACAGAAAATTATTGGATCAAAGGAGCTGCATATTTCTATAACCTTTGATACAATGGCAAACTGCCCTTGCAGAAGGGTTGAATTAAATTTATAGCCCTACCTGATGCCAGTTTCATATTTTTATCACTAGGTAAAATCATTCTTTAAAAATTAATTTTTTTCTTTTTCTTTTTTTACTCTACAGCCATGTGTGCTCATTAAGGAAAAAATAAAAGGAGAAAAAAAAGCTAAATAAAGTAAGATTGCTTATAGTCTCACCACCCAGAAATATTAGTAATGTTATTTTGATATAAAACCTTTCCATCTTTCTTATAGCTGTGGTATGTGTGCTTATACATTTTTTAAGAAATGGGATTATGACAACCCACTATTCTGTAGTCAGTTTATTTAATAATATATTACAAATATCTCTGCAAAGCTTTTGATTATTTCTGCAGGATAAATTCCTGCAAGTAGAATTATTGGTTCAAAATAAGTGTTTTTGATTCAAAAGAAGAACTTTTAAGACATATCAACAACTTACTCAAGAGCAGTAGCACATGTATGCTCCCAACAGTGGTAAACTTGGGTGCTTGTTACCCAAATCCTTACCATTTTTCCAAAATGTGCTAATTTGATGACTGAAAGTAATGTTTCAATGGTCCTCTCATTTGCATTTTGTTTACTTCACATTTTCAAGTGGGAATTAGCCACCTCTTTTTTTTTTTTTTAGTAAACTGCCTATGTATTTTGCCCTATTTTCTATCATGATTGATTGGTTCATTCATTAATTCTTTCGGAGACTGTGCTAGGTGTTGGGGGATACAATGTAGAGAAGGATAGACAAGATCCCTAACCCTCACAAAGATTATATGGACACTTTTTTCTCTTACTGATTAATAAGAGCTCTTTATATCTTATGGATATCAACCTTCTTTTGTAAGTTTAACGGTAGCCCTAGCACCTAGCAAAATGCCTGACACATAAACATGGTTCCAGACAACATTACTGAGTATTTACCACAGACCAAGATTGAAGAGATGCTTACTAGACATTGTCTCCTTTGACTTTCCAATAACCCTGTGAGATAGATACTACAATTATCCCCATTTTACAGATGAGAAAACTGAGGCTAAGAAAGATTAAGGAAACTACTCAAGGTTTGCCCAGTTAGTAAGTGACAGAGCAAGACTTTGAATTGAGGATTTCCTGCTTTAGAATCTGTTCTTCATAGCTGCTCTAGAGAGTTCAGCTTGAACTGCCAAAAGCCTGATGAGAATACATTCCCTGATGTGTGGCAGCCAGAGCACAGTCACCCAAGGGTAAGTGGTGAGCCTGCATTCTAGGTCTGTCATCTTCCTCACTCTAGTCTTTCACAGAGTTAGAAACATTTAAATAGCCACTTCCAACTTAATCAGAAAGAAGGTATTAATTTCAGAACTACCATGAGATCTTTGTATGAGACAGGTGGTCAGCCTGGAAGTTCTACTGAGCTCAGCTGGGCTTGCTCACATGTCTGGGTATCACCTGACTGTTGGCTGATCTGGGCTGGCCCCCAGCTGCCATCATTGGGCAAGTCTGTTTGTTTGTTAGTTTGTTTTTTCAAAGCTAAAACAGAAAACAGAGCATGACTATACCACATAAACACAGAATGACTATATAATTTCCCAAGAGTCTAGATAAAAAACTGTGGAAAACTTAGTTATTAAGTGTCAGGACAAGTATTTAAATGGGAACTTTCCTACCCCACCATTCTACTTTTAAACATTATATCATATTACCTCACATGATAGACACTGCCACAGTATCTGATAAAGTTCCACAAACACCTATTTGATTAATGAATAATAAGTAAATGAATGGATATGTGAATGAATGGATGAATGAACAAATGAATTTACATAAACTTGGATCTGTTTCTCATCTTCCCATCTGTTTTTCTAGTGGCAGTCTCTATTTCCTGCATCTAAATGGCAGAGGCTGTGCCAGCTAGAAATGGGTAAACCTCAGTGGAAATATAAAGTGCTCCCAAGAAAGGAAGTCTTCCACCCATGGGAAACTCTGCTTATCCAGAAAGACCAGGAGGATAATTAAATGGTGAATGTAAATAGACTTTTTCTGAAAACCACAGGGTGCTATGTGAACATAAAGAACTACTGTAGTTTAGACCAAATAAGTCCCTTCCCTTAATCTTAGTAAGAAATCTGCAATTAGTCAAACTGGAAAATATCATTTTAAAAAAGACTTGAATCAGAGGATTAATTCAAGCCCAACTTTCAAGTATCATAGGACCAAATAACCTTAGCTTAGGGCTATTCTCTTGAATGGTATTCTAAAAATATGTGATGAAGTTTCACAAAAATAATTACTGACTCATACATCGCATCCCCATCAATGGAGTCTTTGCAGAACCATAACAAAATCATAAAATCAAAGAAAAACACACTCTGTGATGCCAGAGTGGAAAATGTGGCTTTGCTTAGTTTGCAGGGGAGAAAAAGTTGTGCAATAGGCTAATATTATTCTCCCAATGTTCTTGAAGGAAAAAGAATACTAAAGAAGAAACCCACAGAAAAAAAAAAATTAACATTTTAACTCAATGATTAGTTATTAAAATACTTCTCTAATAATCCAAAGCAAAATATCAAACACAGGAGAATTAAGATCTGATTTGTACTAGCCATTTGGAAACTGGCCATTTTAACTGAACTAAGTTGTTCCTTCCTTAATCTCTGGGTCTAAAAGATCAAGAGCTGATTTATACACTCGATTCCCATCTCAAACCAACAAAAACAAGGCCATTTCCTTGAGATTAGTGGCAGTACAAACTTTGCTTATCCATTCTGCACCTAGCACATGCTTAGTTCACTTAACCTACACCCTAAGAAAACAGTCCTAAGTTAAGGATGTTGGGTCCGATGATACTTTAAAAAAGAAAGTTGAGCTCATTAATCCTTTGATTCAAGACTTCATTAAAATGATATTTTCCAGTTTGACCAGTTGCAGATTTCTCACTAACATTAAGGGAAGGGACTTATTTGGTCAAAACTATAGGTGAGCAAAGAAAAGAATCCATCTAGAACTGCTTGGCTCAATCCTGAAAGCCACTGTTCACCTTCACTGCAGTGGGGTTGATACTTTCACTTCAATTCCAGTGCATAAAACCTAAGTTAAAGGCAAAGATAAACCTACCCTAGAAACCAAACATAAAACTGAGTAGGTGGAAACAGTCTGGTGAAATAGGCTGTCATATTGCCATATCATTGAAAAAATTAGAATCAAAGGAGCAAACCCCCCAGCATCAGACAGTACTCACCAAACGGCCCAGGTACTAGCCAATGGATGGTGAGAGGAAGTGATGTTTCACTTCCAGGTCAAGGCAGTTAAAAGCCCACTTGTCTCTTGCACTGTGATTCTACAGAATACACGTTCCAGATGGCTTAGCTGCAAGATGGAGGATGACTGCTTGACCTACACCAGACTATGTGTGAGCAATGAGTAAATA